AGCTGGATCACTCTGCCCAGTGCTGCTGGCATATAGTAGAGCATGTTACTCTGACAAAGTGACATGCACTGACACAGTTCTCTCTAGACCCAGGGTACTGGACTGGAGACCACATCACATGTATGTTAGGAGAAAACCATACAAAAGGCACTTTGAGTTTGGAAAACCATGGTCAGCTTATGATAATGCAAGGTATTATTTATCATTGTACCTTAGCATTGTTACATGTTGTCAGGTCCAAGCTAGCAGTCAGCCAATTTTGCCAGGAAGGCTGGCATGTATGAGAGTGTTTTGTCGGATGGTATGAACTCATGTGGGAGGTTTAGTATTGACCATTGTTTCCCCAATACATTAAAGAAAATGTTATTGTAGCTTATACATATACAGTGTAGTGCATTTGCCTCCAAAGATTGCAGATGTCTGCATGCTGGATTAAAGGCTTTTGTGCCTGCGCTGTACTTAGTGATTCAGGCTGCTGAGCAGTGTAATGAAAGATTTGTACATCTCAGTTTACTATTTTAAAATGTTAATAAATTGTTTTGTGGATTTTAGAGGACGTAGGAGATGTGAATACATTATCTGCAGGATTTTCTGTCTTAGTGACATCTTTACAAAAACTATATGTGTCCACATGGACCTGATATTAACATTTTTAAATATTTCACAATACATATTGAGTTAAAAAAGATACACTTCCCCTTCATCCACTTATTAGCAGTGGGTTGTTTACATACATTGTAATGGAACGCTTCCAGTTGCAATCGGATGTATATACATGTCTTGTAAAGACTGATGACAAGACTCCTGTTTCAGTGAAGTGACTGGGGTCTGTTCCACTTGCTCTTTGGCAACTAGAGCCTGAATTAAATGTGATACTGCGTTCAGGATATCTCAGTTCTTTATTGAACTTTATCGCTTGGGTTTTTTTTTGCCGTTTTTTTTGAGTGTGCTTAAAGCTCGACTCCAGGCAAACAGCTAAATACACAGATGAAATGCGCAAATGAGAGCTGTTTTATCTGCCAAAGGATTTGTATTTTTCTTTCCATCCTAAGCTTAACACAGCTCTGTCCCGCAGCACTATGCAGTCTAGAAGGGGAGGAGACCTGATTGTTCTCAACAGTTTTACTTACAGGTCCCCTCCCCACCATGTAACTGGACAGTGAAAGAAAAAGCTGCACACTGATGAACTCATCTTTCTGTCACTCTGCTGTCTCCTCCTATCAGCACAATTCCGTGTGCTACTTCTCCATTACCCTCTCTAAAGACCACTCTACAGTAGACTGCAAGAGGCTGATACCAAGTCCAATTCAGGTATTTTCACTGTTTACATAAAACGGTACATTTAATGATGCATAATAATTAGAGAGCTGGATTAATATGCGTTTTTTTCTATCTTTCTAGAGTTCAGCTTTAAGCCACAGTTCTGTTTGTATATTTAACAGTGGGAAATTATAACTGTAAAATTTACTTATAGGGGATATGATAATTGTGTCACCTCTTAAAGGAGAACTATGGAATGAGTGAAATACACTCATCCCAATAGTTAGAGCCGATGTGTGACACTGCAGAAGTTACACGTCGACTCTATTGATTGAGAACGGAGCAATCACATACCTATGATCACTCACTTCCCGATTTTCTCCCTGCAGAGAGCGATGACTGTCACTCACTGCTCCCCGCTGCAACGCAGCTCTGTGCTGTCGGGATATAGAGGGCAATAGCCCACTATTTGCTGAGTCTTAGATCACAGGAGGACCAAAAAAGGTTTGTCCATAGTTCTCTTTTAACTTGATATGTTATATTAATCTGTTCAGTGCATATTGCGCCAACATTTTGTTACGACATAGGAAGTGATACAGTGCGTAATAGGCTTTTATCCACTGTAGCATGAGAAAAATTGGCCAGACATTTTTAGCCTTCCATATTTCCTGCACTGACAACTCTTGTTAAGCTTCATTGTCTTGGTTGTTGTAGGCTGGCGATCAATGGCAAGAGTACAAAAACTACTCTGCACAGGAACCCAGATAACTGCATGGAAGATCCATTTTTTTTTTGCCCAACATCCTTGACTGTTACATATTGCTGTGATAAAATTAATTATGAGGCACATTATACATCCTGAATCATATGGCAAACACTACTACTACTTTAGAGTTGAATGAATGAGATTGTGTGTATCTTTAAAGTAGTAAACATTTTTTCCTGGCTGTGTGACTAGACAGTCATAGAATTATATTGTTTTCCAGTCGTTAATTCAATTTTGGCTTATTTTAAACATTTTTTTTATCCTGGTTACTGTGAATAGCCTTTTAAATTATTTATTGAAGCAGGATGTTTACAATGGAAATTAATACCAGCAGATGTATGGATATGTCAGTGTAATTTAATTAAACACCAATTTTTCTGTCTTAGAAGACTGTTATGTAAAGGTTGTTAATATTTATGGAGCTTATATCCAATTACAAGTACTCCCTGCAGCCCACACATGGTACATGTCATACTTGGCCAGAATGGCAGTATGATTATCTGATAACTGAAAAATTTCAGGTCAGTTACACTTTTCCAGCCAATGAGAATTTTCTGTACTGAGTACGCTTGTTTTCAGTGCTGGGAACCTGGCACTTGTAGTTCTTGCAATTCTTTCCATGTAAAGCAAGTTAAAAATAAACTGTGTCCCCATTCATCCCTGATCTCTCCGATGTCCCTAACCTAGTCATGCACATAGCAATATGAGAGTGATTGAACATTTGATTCCATATTATCCCGAAACCACAAAGCAATCGAAGACCTAAAATGGTGGTTTTGATCATGTGCACAAAATCTGAATTGCCCCGATCAAACTCATCGAAAAATCGGATTACTTACAAAATTCCCATAGTTTTTGCCATTTTCCATTTGGTGTTTCAATGTATTGTACTGAAGCTGTCATTTTATTGCCCAGTTTCAGCTTCACAATTGATTAAACACATGGGTGGTTGATTGCTTAGTTTCTGGTAATTACTTGGGATTGTGCCATTCCCAGGGGACGGAAGGTGGTTGAAACTAACTCAAATTTCAACCACTTACAATCAACTAACAGTTGAACATGCTATCAAAAGTGGTTGCTTCAAATCAAGCATGGAGGCAGTGGCGTCACAATTGGGGTGCGGCCCGCACCCGGGTGACACCAAAATGACTGACAGTCATTTTGGTGTCACCCCCCTCTGAAAAGTCGGGCGCTCGCTCATGGACCGAACGCCCGACAGTATCAGGAGAGAGGAGGGGACCCGGTGGCATACCTTATCCAGCCGGGCTGACTGTCCACTCCTCTCTTTTCCGGCATCCATCACCCAGATGGCCGCCGTCGGGTATCAGAAGATTGCCGCGTGTGCGTGATGACGTCTTGGCACCCGGAAACCGCTCTGGGTGTCACCCAGCCTCGGGACGCTCCTGGATGGAGGAATCTCCCACTGTGCAAAGCATCAGTATCTTGCTAGTCGGCCCCACTGGCTCTCAAAATACCTGAACAATCTGATTGGATGCAGGCATTGTTCAAGTATTTTGAGAGCCAGCAGGGCGGACTAGTAAGATACTGAAGCTGGGCCCAGTGGGAGATTCCTCCATCCACATAGTTTAGCGTAGATGGAAGAATCTGTTGCACTTTTTTCCTCTTACCATAGAAAATCTGCAGATAATCTATAGGTGTGGCCTACAGGTATAGGTATGGCCAGCTTTACTGTTGATCAAATGTTTGACTGCTTTGCGATTTCAACAAAAACTAACTAGTTCAATCAAATTGCCATGTGTATAGCCAGCTTAATACTCAACCTAGCCCTTAAGCTTAACCCTTCACATAACATGAATGTTCTACCTAACCTTAAAAGAAACCTGAACTGAGTAAAACATGGCGGGAGTCATTGACCTCCTTCTGAAAATGATAGTTGCTTAGCAGTGTTGCTGATCCTCTTACTTCAGTACATTCTGAACCACTGAACTGGAACAAGCACGTGGCAAATGTCAAAGTCAACTCAGAACTTCTAATTTGCATGCCTCTTGCAAGTCAGAGACTGAAAAGGAACTAAGAATATTAGATCAGCATGACAGCAAGGCAGCTAATATTTTTTAGAGGGAGAAGTCAGACATGTCAGTCATCATATTCTTTTAGCACAGGTTTTCTTCAACGGTAACAATGAATTTTATCCCATATCCCATAAATTTCAATTGTATTCCTAACCCGATGCCTAACACTAATTAACCTTTGGAATGTTGTACATACCTTATCTTGGCACATACCTTACCTTGGTGCAAACCTTATATGGCAAAATAACTGACATACTGACCCACGTGCATCATATTTGTGTGTGTATATATATATATAACTTTGCACGATATTCTAATTATTCGAGTTTCACCTGTATATATATACACACACACACACACACACACACACACACACACACACACACACACACACACACACACACACACGATAGACAGTGTATAGAAACGTAGAGAAAACTGAATGGATCTTCTGGGATTTTGATGTTTAAAAGTCTAGATAGGAGAGAGGATTTTTGCATAGGCTCAGCTGAATTTCTCTGGACTTCGCTGATACACGCTCTTGCAGCGGCAGCCAGCTTTCTTCTCCACTAATTTATTAATAATATGGCTGCTTGTGTTCAGCTGCTCTTTTGATTTTGCCATACAGCAGTTACAAGTCAAGCTGTAGCAGGGATATTTTAAGTTGCTTCCAATTAATCCGAATTTATTTGTAGAATCTCCTGCATTTACTGCAGAAACTGAGGTAAAGCAGGTACTGTGATGGTGATGAGGATTTAAAGGTCGTGGTAGAAGAGCATCAGCAGGTATTGGTAATCAGAAAAGTTTCCAGCTTAGAGAAAGGGGTGGGTAGGGGCACTGGATTGGCCAACTGATTGTCTGCTTATTTATTCATGAGACAATGCCAGGTAGCAGACTCAGGCTCTGATGCCTACTGAAGCTGACAGCTCTGCTGGCTGAAAGAGCACCAAATAGCAGGCATGGAGCTGTCCCCAAAGCACTTTCATAAAAGAGGGAAGATCTCAGCAAAAGCCTAAAGGGAAGGAGACAGAGATCCAAAGCAGGTCAGAGTGGAGAAACGGCAGCAGCAACAGCAGCCAAAGGTGGAGGGAGGGGAGAAGACAGTGGGGGCTGTAGTCCCTCGGTAGCAGAAAAGAATATATTAGAGGATACAAGGAGCTACAAACACAAGATTTGCACTGATCTGTCAGCAGCAGCTCTGCATCAGTCTGCCTGCGCTTATTCCATTCTTACTGAGATACTGTGCTGCATTTGGGTGCCATGGGTAACAGTTTGTCCAGCAGCATTCCTACATTTCCCAGAGGAAGCCAGACAAGAATACACAGATTCCATCAGCAGCATCACATCAAAGGTAAGTAGATGAACTAACCATTGTCTAATACAAGCCTAGAGCCGTGCACGAGCAAGCACACCCTCTCCCTGACAGAGAACAATGGGGACCTCCAGTGCTGAAGTGCCTGGAAGTGGTAAGAGATGCTTATAACCCTACAGGTGTCTTCTCCAGATGTTTGCTGGGATTATGTCATCACAGAGATGCTGCTGTATTCTGCTCTCCTTTCTTTGCATTTTTGTAATCTTTCACATTCATGTATAGCTCATGGGCATACAGTAATGTCTCAATTACTTTATCACAAGATGTCTAGTTATGGGCACATTGACTCCAGGAAATGCAGTTGTAATGATGGATTTTATTATGCCACCGTTATCACGGAGATATGTAGAGCTTACTGTGTCTACCACATTCTCTCATTTTTGGAGGATATTCAATGAAGCTTACATATATACAGTTCTTCCATTCTAATCATTTTCGAACTTGTGACTATGTTTATTTTATCAGATTTTAGTGCTATGCATCATTGAGGGAAAGGTGTTGGGGGGTGAATAAAGTGCTCCTATTGATTGGGAAACTGGCAACATATTTAGTAGATACGGACTTTCATTGCCCTTGGGAATAGTGGCCTTACAGCAGCACGAGGCTCAGTGTGTCTTTTACTACAGTCTTGCTAGTCCTTACATTAATACATTTAGTTAAAGGATATTTAAAACCAAAAACAAAAATGGAATATGTATTGCAGCTTACCAATTCTTAGATGTGGTGGCTGCATTAGTTTTCTTTTTTTCAGGCTAAAGACATTCTCTGCAAGTGCAGAAAAATGACTTTTAATCCTGTCAGAATTCCATTGCCCTTGACTCTTCCTGTGCACTTAGCAGATATTTTTTAAACATTGTTATCAGCTTTCCCAGCTATGTTCTGTAAACTACAAAATGCCTCCCATTTTGTAATGTAATGGAGGCGTTTGCAGTCAAAAATAGGAGGAAAGCCTAAACCTACGGTGAGAGCACTGCTCCTTCATATATAGAGTGCAGTGAGTGGACTTTGTCACCCTAGGACAGGAAATGTGTCACTGGCAGTATCAACAGGTGGAAAAAAAAAAAGAATGCAGTCACCAAAACGTATAACTGGTAATCTTAAATATGTTTTAACCTTCACAGAAACACCTTCTATAATTGTAACTGAACTACAGGTTCACTTTAAAGATTGAAAAGCATTACCTAAATTTTCAGGGCAACACATTTTGTTTGGCTTTTAGGGGCTAGGTTATGCTAATAATTATTCTGAGAAAGAAACCACCGATACAAGCTGCCATTCTCTGACTCCTGGCCTCTTTAATTGTGCTGCCCCTTCATCTTAAGGGGTATCGTCACTACACTTCCTATGTATGTAGGTAAAAAGTGTACACTGTATATTATAAATGGCTCATTTTCTCACTTTCTTCAAGAATTATTTAAGAATAAACTGTAATATGATATTAAACCTCTAGTTCGTCCTGCCAAGGCCTAGGTATTTATAGTTTTTCTGCACTCTCTGTCTGAATTTGGCTTTGTGAAGGTTGATGTTACTTGTCATAAGTCTAGCTTGCACAACAAAGTATGAAGTGCAATTCCACAAAAGCTTTTAAACGCAGTCTGCCAGTCTGCTATACACAATGACGATGTGAATTGCCTTTGCCGACTTTTAGCTTTCCAAAGTGGGTTGTATGTGACAATTTAGAGCATTACTTGTGATGCAACGGTGATCAATAACATCATTGTGCACTGAAATCTATGTCAGAGTTGTATTATAAGCTTTACCAGAGCAACAGACACAGGTCATGTATCAGCAATGAGAATTGTAGAATGTTACCAAAATGGAAACCCGCATGATCTTGTTTTGTTTTTCTGCATTGATGGAGTCTTCCATTAGTATGTATTTTGTAGTCCAGTGTCCTGAAGAACAAGTGTAATAACCCATTTGTTATCTATTATACTTGTGATTCTGTAAAGAGAACTGAAAAACTTACCCACTTAGCAGTGCCTAAAGTCCAAACGCTTTGATTTACCAGGGCCTTGCCGAGCCCAGTTCAAAGTTTGGTGAACCCGAACTTTGTGGCAAATCCCATTGATGTCTAGGGTGGTGAATTCTGCTGGCCATTTCCGGGGCTCATAAGCAAACTATGTCCCCCAGCATCCTTTCGTCCAGTGAATGTCAATAAACGGATCCTTAGACCGCTGGAGGCAGGAGAAGAAGTGGCTGTTGGGACCGGTCTAACAGCCAGGTGGGACTGAGGATCGGGTGAGTATATCTTTTTAAATTTTATTTCTAGACCAAAATGAGCACTAAAACCTTGCAGTGGGGGGCATAGCCCCACTGCAATTGTTACTTTTTACATGCCCAGAGTTGTTCTCTAATAGGTGGTTGTGGTAAAATAGGGACACTACCTGGGACTGACATTTAGGCTGGGTTCACACTATTCCTTGTGTTGCTGTGAGTGTAGTAGCGCACATGCATAGGTGTGAATCGGCCCCTAGGGCTTGTTCACACCATGTGCATTGAGGTGCATTTTTCCTCACACCACCGCAGATATATGGCGTGAACAGGGCACATAAAAAAACTTTGTGCCCTGTTCACACCATACATATGCAGTGGCGTGCAGAAAAACGCAAAAGAGATGGTGTGGACAAGCCCTTAGGGTTGAAACTTTTTCCCTGCAACACTTGTTAGGGTCCATTCATTTAGAATGGCATCCCAATGCACTAAGGCAATGCAGCTCCAACACATTGTAAAGCACTATCGCACATTGTGGTGCACTGCATTGGCAAAAGTGGTACATCTCCATTTAGTGAACATTTTGGTGCATTTCCAACTTATTGATTTGAATGGCCTGCCTTAAAGTGACACTAAACTCAGGAGTTAAATCTTAAAAATGCATTCATGTACCCCAACTATTAACAAAAATGTATCTTATTGGTGTATCACTCTGCTGTAGATCCTCAGATCATCTCTGAATTGGTGCGGACACTGTCCTTCCTTCTGGAGGGTGGCTACTCTTGTTCCTCATGGTACCTGTGTGTGTTGTAATGTAGCTACTGCTCCACGCTCACTCCTGTGATAGACTACAATCTCATGTCTAGTTTACTAATTTGTACTGAGATTGTAGTCCATCACAGGAGTGGGCTTGGAGCGATTGTACCCATGGACCCTGTATGTGTCGTAAAGTAGCCACCACTCCAAGCTCACTCCTGTGATGGACTATAATCTCAGTACAAATTAGTAAACTAGACATGAGATTGTAGTCTATCACAGGAGAGAGCTTGGAGAGGTAGCTACATTACAACACACACAGGGACCATGAGGAACAAAAGTATCTATAGATATATATAGTTACATATCATATATCATTTCCATAATATATTCCAATGTTACCCTCAGGTTTATTAATTGTTAACTGAAGGATATTTAGCCACAGGCTACACTGGCATTTAAATCTCCCTGCTTTGGTGCACACTGTAATCAATGGGATTTTAATAAATTAACTGTCAACAAGCAGTAGCAACCTGTGTATTCCCGTGTCATTTGTTTACAATGGGAAAATGAATAATTGCTTATAAACATCAGGCATTTCACTGTCAGCTGCTATTTTGAACATCACTGTGATCAACCAAGGATTGTTTACGTTTTTCCCAGAAGTATCCTTTTTTGTAGTCCGTGCATCAAAAAGTCACATGTTCAGGGTCAGAAAGAAAGACGGTGGAAAATATGACAGCACATCTGTGTATCTGGCCGTTTATTTATTACATATATCTACAGAATAAGTAATAGGCCATCTTAATTTTGATAAAGTGTTGAATAGCAGAATTCATCTTCTTTAAAATTATACTTTATATTACTTTACCTGTGCATCTGGGTAGGTTGGCTGGGGCGGGAGAATAGAATGAATCATCTGCTAGCTTGTTATCTCAAAGATTCTCTAGGTCCAGGATTTACCTACGTTGGTTTGTATCTCCCACAGTATTGTAATGAATGTGTCACTCTCACAGTTGGATTACCCATTCATTCATTCTACAATATGACGAATCCATTGGGGGAGTGTGACAACATCATTTGGTTTAGTAATGGCTGTTGTGGTTGGGCAGAAATTAGAATTCTAGTGGGAATTCGTGGGAATTAGCGTTCCCAGGAGAGATGAGAAGCCAGATGTGATTCAAGCATGATACATTATTTATTGGTAAAGTTGGTCTCTAAGAATAAACTTTGTAGGTCAGTAAGAAACGTTTTACAGTGTAGTACAGACCAAATATTCCAGACTATAGCCCCCTAACCAAGGGAATTTTCATTTTGAACTGAATCAACTGGCTAAACTTTAGGAAATCTGTCAGTTATGGTGAAGCTTTAACCTTCCTATCCCTTAGGAAAAATATATTATGCAGGATAGTGGTTTGCAGCTCTGCTTTCCAAGAGTTTCTGCAGCAGCTGCACAGTTGATTATACAGTGGTGAAAATATGTCACCACGGTCCTCGTTATTATATTTCATGTCATCAGGTCAGTATTCATTTTCCACCCTTTAGCTTCATGTGCCTAGTAATGCCTGTGGTTTCCCATTTACATGAGAAATAAACAAAACTGATAGGATCTGACAGATTATGCTAGGTTTAGAGGCACAGTTTGAAAGCCTGAATGTCAGTGGAAAAAGCTCTTGCTTCTGGGAGTAGGTTTTATTTCTTATGTTTTCTGCACCAGTTGTAACTAATTGTCATACCGACAACACTAATCAAATATTTTCAAGCTCACCAAAAGAATAAGAATAATACACATGTTTCGAAGGGATTCCAGCATTTCTGAAGTGTTTTCTAATGACCCAAACGTTCCGACACCATAATACTGTAATGCATAGGTTCTAAAAGTAAAACTGTAAAAACAAAATTCAAAATCTTCCCGGTGCAAATGAATCACAGCAAGCCATCCTCCTTAATTGATTCCACCTGATCACACTGGGGCAGCTCCACAAGGCATGAAACCTTAACATCTATGG